TGGTTCCACGCCATTACTTTGTGATCAACGGTTCTGTTGCCGCTTCACCAACCATGCTAATCGATGGCCTGGTATAATCGTACTACCAGTTACCTTCATAAGCCTCTCTATCCTTAAACCATTTTTGGAGAGCGTTGTTTAATTATCGACGTGTCTGACTGGTCACCGTGTGGGCAGCTTCTCAAACAGGCTTCAGAATTCTCAAATATACGTTGACAGTTTAGAGTTAACAACTGGCCCATTCGCAAATAAATGGTCCAACCTTATTTAAAATAGGCAACCGGTCTTGCATATTCTTTCAGAAATTCTTAAGCACTTATCGACACAGTTATCAATCTTCCATATAAGTGGTCATGTTCAGATCAATTGAATAGCAGTATTTAGATTTTTCGCCACATTCACACCAGCCAGTTCTTTAAGCTTGTTTAGTGAATATGCCGTTCTTAACTCGCAATTTACGCAACTCTTTCATACAGTAGAAAAACAATAGAATCAAAACTTAGCAGTGTGTAAAAACTGTGTTTTTGTCTTTCTCTGGTGTTTCGGACACAGTTGTTACTCGAGTCTTGGACATGGGTAATCGTGTCAATAGCATTGTTGATTATAATGTTGTTTCCTTTCATTTTCTTCTTGTTTATCTTTCAGTGTCTGTCCGGGTTCAAACAACCAAGGAGATCACATCAGCACTTCTTTTCATTTTCTTCCATCAAACATAACGTACATAAGAATTTATGGGTTGCATTTGTGTTTCTCTGGTGCCTTGTATGTCGATCCATTTCTCTCGGCATCACTCCCGGTTTGAATTACACCTGGAAGTTCTCACCCATGTGACCTCTGAAGTTTCAGAGCGAACGGTAACCGCGCTAGGCACCACCGGCACGCTTAATCTCTGAATTTTCGGGTTGAAAAGCATCGCCACCTTTGATCATTCTCCTTCACTTTTCTCAAGCAACTCATGTACCGTAAGAAACGCCCACCGAAATAATTTCGTCCAACCCAGAAGAATCTACTAGACATTCTTGGAGAATATCGCATACCGCGGCGTGTCTGTTCAGAAAACATCTCACCGCAGATCACAAAACATCAGGAATGAAATATTTTTCATAAGAACTTGTTGTCTGATACTACCTGACAAATTGACAACTCCACCATCAACTTTTGTCTTGTTTTTTGAAATTCTTGGATACGCAGGCATAATTTGCAAGTTGGATTCCTCGCTGTTCAGACCTTGAAATTCATCATCTGTAGGTGAAGTTCTGTACCCAATCGTCCACAATTTCTTGAGGTATTAGCATTCTTAACTCGTCCTACTTCTTGGGCATCTTGAATACAACAGGCAATGATTTATGAAAATAGTAAGAATAGTCAAATTCTTTGTTGAAGTTCGAATTCATCTTCATTTTCAATATTTGTACATTCAGTTCTTGAAGCAGTCTCTCTGTCGATGTGTTACCAGATTTGAATATTTTCTTTTAAAAATTGTCAGCTGTCAATTTCTTTTATTGTACTGTTTTTTTGTGCGAGAAGCATTTTTGAAAGGTTAATTTCAGCGGACTAACTGTAACCACATCTTTTTCAGTGTCTACCAGGAAATGTATTCGTTCTCTGCGATGACTTACAATGGCGTTGATATGTGTTTTCTTTTCTTGTGGGGGGAGTTTTCATGTCTGGAGATTTCATCAAATTGAAGTTTTGAATCGTTTTACATATTGGCGATGGCCTTGGTGAATATAATTGACCGTTTCCTTCGTTCAACTGGTATGAAGTTCGTTTCAACACTTTGCCTACTTGATGCCTCGCTTTGGTTCCCCTTGAACGACACCCATGTTCCAACCACTGAAAGAAAAATAGATGCTATTGAAAATTATTCTTCATATTCACAAGTCATCATGATTAACAGACAGAAGCTAATCAGGGGAGGTAATCAAAAGTATATTTATTTCGTATACTATAGTGTGGCACCGAGTGAACATCACGGAACAGATTATGAAATATTTCAACAATTTCAACGTTTGTGTGATACACACTACTGTGTTTATCCTGAGCTGAAAGACTGACCAAGATATGTAGAAACAAGAATTGTCACGGGTAAGTTGACAATGTCCCAAAGTGGTGCTTTGTCCTTTGATTTAATGGACGAGATAGATTATTTTTGTTTGGACAATTAGATCTTCAATGTGAAGGTCATTCAATGTCAAGGTGAAATAAATATAGGTCATTTTGGAAGGCTCCTGTCCAAAGGGGCAATTGTGTCCAAATATGAATTAATTTCCACGTTATTGACCAATGTTAAAATTTTGGATGTCTAGAAGGTCATTCAGGTCAAGGTAAAAAAAATAGATCAGTTTGAAGGTCTTTTCTAAACGGGTGTTGTGTCCAAATATGAGTAAATCCGTATACTAATAAGGAAGTTATGCACCATTTTTAAGTTTTTGGACAATTTAACCCTTCAAAGTGAGGTCATTCAGCGGTCAAGGTCAAAAGAAATATGTCAATTTGGAAAGCTGTCCAAGGAGGTTGTTGTGCCTAAATCATGAATTAAAATGATTTACTTATAAGGACATTATGGCCAATCTTAAATGTTTTTTGGACATTTTGACCTTCAAGGTAAATGCCATTCAGGGGTCAAGATTAAAATATACAGGTCCGTAGGAGGTCTTGTGCTAAGGGATGTTGTGTTCAAATATGAATCAAATCCGTTTACTAATAAGGAAGTTATGCCAATGTTAAAGTTTTCGGACGATTGACGGACGGACAGTTCAAAACTAATATGCCTCCCTTCGGGTAATGCATCAACGTCTTGCAAAGAAATGTTGCTGTGCAAAAACGTTTAATTGCTTGGTAGATTGAAAAATATATTTTCACATCTGAATAACATATTAAAACCAGACACGCACTGCGCTTGTCTTGCTCACAACGAGGTTATGGTGCTCACAACGAGGATTAAAGCAAAAAGGGTATATCTTCGTTCTATGAAGACTTTCTGGTAAAATAATTTACGCTGAAGACTTGTGGCATCTGTGTTAGTAAAAATGCACAAAACTTCACCAGAATCGACGTTTCAATGTTAAATTTGATCCCGAAGAGAAGTTGTCTCCAGTTTTCCAGCTACCCCGAGTGACTGCGTCGCACGTATTTACATCAATTGTCGACCAACAGGCAATATCTTTACATGTGCATACTCGGAAAACACATCGCTAGCTAACTCATTGTGATATTTTCCACATAAATGTCTGTATCTTCAAAATTATGAAAAACTCACCTTGTTATTCGTGTCACCTGTCTTAGATGGGTGCTCACAACGAGGAACGGAAGTTGCTCACAACATTTTAACCGATGGACATTTTTCACTCGTTGTGAGTTAAACGGGCGTGGTTACAAAGTTTTTGGTCCAGTAAACGTTAACTTTGTATTCAAGCATTTTTATAGTTGCATAGCAATTTGAACTTGTGTAACAGGGTTTTTTTAATGAATATAGCCATTTTGTTTACAAAATACTCACGCGGTAATTATGAATTACTGTAACTGGTCAGTAGTTTCTTGCATAATGCACAGTACGTTAAAATAAAAATATGAAAACATTCGTTATATAGTGTGGAAATGTCATTTAATCTTGGACTGCAAATGTCCAACAATATTGACATAGCAATTCATTAACTTTCGTAAAGGTCATTGGTATCAACAATATATCTATTGTAACTTTACACGTCAATGAGATATATATATGCCAGACAAGTGATCTGAACTGATCTGGTTCGATACTTAACCAACACCACTTTATGAAGATACACATTTTTAAAATTGTCTTGCTAGATCTCATTTTACAATACCTTTTCAGTAGTGTGTTTATACATTTCAAATCATTATCTTTAAAACATTACAGCGTATTTATAATACAAATTAAAAACACTACACAGATTAAATACACACACACACACACACACACACACACACACACACACACACACACACACACAAATCAAAATAAAAACGGAAGTCGCTATAAAACTCATTTTTTTATTAAATAAACAAATTTTGCTATTTCTGTTTTAATGAATTTGAAAAATTGTATCCTTAAGGGAAACACAAGATTTTATGTTACATGTTCTCTCCTCTCTATACTTAATTTAAATGACCTTTCGAACCTTTACCATTGATGCTACAATTTAACAACTTTAGCCAAAAACTAGCCCTCTTTACTTCATCAAATACCGCGGAAATCTATAAATACACAAAACGCTTTTTCTTCTTATGTTTTAAGATATTGATTATTGAATGAAGGGTAAAAAAATTATCCTGACGGGAAAAGCCCTTTCAAAAGCCCGCCTGATTTGCATTAAGAATATTTTTAGACTCTATATATTTAGTTAATCAACAGTTAAGTATTAACGTTAACAATTCAGTAAGGTTATGGTTCTTTTGCATCACCTTTTTTTAATAATGGAACGATTAAGCCATGACGATGGCATATAACCTGTGTCCAAAACAATGTTTAAATGGTTTAAAAAAATAGCCTGCTATTTCTTATGTATCCATACTTGACTGCATGATTTACCATTAAAGACCATTTATATTCCTTATTTGTGGTGACTGGGAAATTTATTTCTTCGTTTAAATTATTTTGTTGCATTAGCTATCAAGGATCCTGTATTTACATTCTGTTGTTTAAAATCAAATAAGAACCATGTTTCATTTTGTAAAAGGAGTTCTGTCCCTTAAACAATAACTTTATTTAAAAAAGTCAAGTCAAGTCAAACAAACATTTATTTCTCTCATTCCACGTACAAACATAACATAATAAGGTGACAAACATGAAAAAAGTACAATGAGGCTCAATTTGATATTAAATATAAATTTTGAATACTTTTAATTGTAAAGTACATATATACAACAGTTGTGTCTCTTCATATATCTATTGTTTAAACATATGAACTAATTGAGAAAGCTGATCTTACATTCAAAGGTAGTGTTTCATTTTTTTATTCTTTGTATTTCACCAATGAGATTCGATAGTAACAAAATGTTGTCACCGGAAAGACCTAAACGTTAGTGAAAAATGTAATTGAATTGGTATGTTTTGTGTTAAAGAGAAAAAAAATAAAGTAAAATAGTAGTAAAGGGGAAATGGAAAAAAATGCATGTGTTGTTTTAAATAGACGATTACTGCTCAATAGTCATATCAACAATCAACATTTTTAACATACTCATATCACAATATCATGATGCGAAAAAAATATTAAACAAAATAAATATGCTTCATGTACTAGTATTTCACTTAACATGCGAATAATTTTCAAGGTATAAATTGAGAAGTTTAATGTTTAACAATAACAAAAAAGATAGGGTATATAGAATAGAAATAGAAATACCATGACTACTTGAATACTCTCAATATGGCAGATTAAGGGAGATAACAATATAGATTTACATAGCAGATGTTATTGCATTTACTTCCCTTTAGTTAAATCTTAGCTATAGCTATAATTGAATAAAATTTACAATGTATTTTAGTAAAACGTTTTCAGATCGGCGGGAACTGGTGGTTTCCGCCTACTCTATCGTGGACCTGAACTCAACCAGAGCACAGCGTGGGGCATGGAAGCTCCAATAAGATCTTCCTGCGATAACAAGCGCCACAGGTCGTGCCAGGTGCACTGCTGACCCTCGACTTCCCAGTGGGGATCGGGAGTCAGGAGTACCCCCGACTTCATGAGGAGCCCTATACACAGTTCCCACGATCTTATATAATTTAATTTGCGAATGGCGGTATCATAGGCCAAAAAAGAAAAATAATTTTTGTATACTGTGCTAGAAATGACACATTTTATAAAGTGAAAAATGGCATTAGATTTTAAGATACGGAAGCAGAGTTGATTAGTGCTTTTAGACCTAACCAGCGTCTTCTGACCTTTCCTTTTGAAAAATAAAAAACCTGTGGTCTAATTAAAATGCAGGATACTATGAATATGTCCTACTAGGTCTCCAAAACGAAACAGATACTTTTGCAACACTTATGATATTCGGAAAAAAGAAAGTCCTATTTCAATAAATACATATTGGTCAATGACTTAAATTCTACTTAGTATACACTTAACAAATTTACTTTTAATAGTTCTTGTTTAGTATTAGTATTCATTAATTCAGATGTTTTGATTATATTTGGTCTTCTATATTAATAACGTTTTAAGAAGCGCTTGCGCTCATTTTCATAGAGTTTGTATTCTAATAAGAAATGAAATTCGTCGCCTAATTTATTACATTACGTACATAGTCTATCATTTAATTGAATTCTTGCCGAGTTTCCGGTTTCTATTGGAAGATGGTGGCTATAAGAACGAAATCGTATCAATGAATACAGATTTGTTGACCTTGGCAAGAAAGAATGATTCTCTCACAAATCTGCATTTAGAAAAGTTTATAGAAGCTAGCCTTGGTAGAATTTTCTACATCATACCCAATAGACCTTACACTCCGTCAGATTTAATAACAATTACCAATACGTTAACAGGACCAAATACTTAAAGAACAGAACAGAAGGTTCATTAAGTTGTATGGTACAGCATATAGACATATGTTTTGTTGTTGGAAGTTATAATAATCAAGCAGACTGCACAAAATAGTGAAAAGGCACAAACACATGTATAATCTTCAAAATACTCAAATCCCTATCACCGAGACGCTGGCAATATGTATATATTTACAATATATCTAATATAAGTATAACATATACAAACAATATATACGTTCATACACTACATGGCAATAATATTCTTATATATATTCAGGGTTCCTATGATATCACGGCTTCTATGATACCACGGTATTTAGATTTTCTGCGGCTGCTAGTAAAAGCAAATAATGATGTTTTTATTTTTGAACTGTCACACTAAATTGAATAGCATCTGTCAATAAATTTAATTTTGTGAATTATTAATAAATTCGTAGTAAGACAGCTATTTTTAAAAAATCATCAAATTGGACTTCTATTTCCCTTAAAAAAATTTACTCAGTCAATTAAATTGTGTTTTAAACCAATATAATGACATATTGTCTATAGCAAGTGCACTGTTGGAAGTTTTTCACTTCTGAATTTGAAAATTTTGATACATCTATCCTTGATTTCTTGCATTTTTGGGGATTACCAGGTTACCATAGTAACCTCCTCTTAAATCACCTAAAATGGTAGACTATGTAAATAGTTTAAAAATAACATTTTAATTGGATCTTTTGAAAGGAAGTATTGACAAACATTTGTGGGAAACGATCACTTATTAAATAGAAGAAAAATTCATTCATGTCTGATTATTATATTTAAATATTTTTCCATAAACGTTAAGTACCGTGATATCATAGAACCCCAGGCTAAATATACATGTTATCATATTTACGAGTGTTGCATTGTAAATTTTATCTTTTGTTGAACGACTAACAAATATATATAATGCAATATTATGAAGTAAACGTCTGTTCTCTTTTTCATAAGATTAACAAATTTCATCATACTAGGTCTCTGTCAATAATATCTTGGAATATATTTCATACGTTTATCATTAAACATACTACATTCAAGCACAAATAAAATTCATCTTCAATTGTAAGCCATCACACAGTTCACATAGTCTATAATGCCTCTCAATATTCCTGTGTCTTACATATTCCATATTCAGACAATGCGACGACATTCTTATTTTTGAAATTGGTTTATACAAAATTTATTTTAGTTTGATTGTGTAGGAAGCTATAATCTTATTGACACACGTTCGAATCCGTTCCTGGAGAGCAATGAGTGTATAGTTTCTTGCTCAAGGAAACGAAAACTTGCCCCTGATGGGGTTTGAACCCATGCGTCTAGCGATCATTAGATTACTAGTCCGATTCGTTAGCCACTCGGCAATGCCGCCACAATTATTTTTGGATATTATCTGTCTATCTTTCTAAAATTATTTATTTTCCTGAGATACACAGATAACTCTTGGCCCTGTTTCAATTCTCTAAACAAAGTCAAACTTAGACTATTATCCATAGACTATTATCCACGTCAATGTCCATGTGAAAAAAAAAACATTCGTATTAACAGATGCTTCCAGCCTGCTAACAGTTTTTGAATCAGCAACACAAATACAAATTTTGTAAACTGCAGGCCGCAAAATATAATAATATACACGTTAAAGCATACCGAAAACCTGATACCAATCAAAGAATAATAATAATATAAACAATTTGAATTCAAATGCACACATACTGTTAACATTGTATCTTACATACATTGAAATGATATATTCATGTGTAAATTAATGTGAAAACACAAACAATCAACTAGTACATCAATCACATGCATTGTTGTTTTAAGATCGTGTTAAAGAATTTTGTGAATAGAAATAAAAGCAAAACAGTCTTTTTAATACTATCACACTTTTCTGTAATTCATATGTAATATTTTATGACTATCTCGGCAAAGTTTAAACGACTGGTTTATAGTGTTGTGTACCTGAGATTGGTTAAAAATATTGACTTTTCTCCGAAGCATTGTCGATATATGCTTGGTAACAAACAACCACAATGCATTGCGAACAACATGGCGTCCATGTAAAACTATTTAAATGTGTTGACAACAATTTCTAACATTTCAAGTTGAATACATGGATTTAAATCAAGTTATATGGTGCTAAGAAAACATAAGAGTTTGTTCTTCTAGTGCAATAACGCTTTAGCACAATATTAACGAATTTATGCATTGAAATAACTAAGCATTGAAATAAAGAAACAGTTACATGTCCGAAAAATACGAATACAATCAATCATACACATTCAGATCATCAAGGATCTCCACAACATGTAAAGGCAAAACTAGCTACTTGTATAATTGTAAAGTTTGATAATTCTATAGCATAATATGTCTCATCTTGTGTTTTATAGCTGGTTATATCACCAAACATGTTTATCCAGAATCATTGTAAATATATGCCAATGTCAGTCATAATATTATATTTGTCAGTCATATATAGGGTTCTACATATAACTAAGTTGTAGGGCTCTACATATGACTTACAGCAATTAAAGCAAGGAATAATGCCATTGCGACGATCAAACCGAACAGCGAGGTCTTTTCTGGAACGTGTGGCAGACGATCATGTAGACTATCAAGATCATTGGTCAAACATCCTAAGCTCTTTCTCATGTTATTTATCAATTTTGTTTTGGCATTCGAATACTCGGTAAGTGTCACCCTTACCCTTTCAGCGTCTTCATTTAGTTGTGCAACCTTATGATCTAACTCTAGCAGCTTTTCTGGTATACTTGAAAATTTTGATTCTATTTCTCCTTCCATGTTTTGAAATGAAGTACTCATGTCTTTTACCGCCACACAAAGTCCGTCATCAATTTCTTTTTTGTAAAACTCTATTTCATTAATATAAGCAGCGTTCTTTTCCAAAAGCTCTAGTAATCTTCGAATTCCGTCGAAGTCTTTATCGTTTTCAAAGTTGCGTAGACATTTTTCAAAGTCATCAAAGAGGCCTTTTTTCTTCTCCTTCAATGCATCGTCAAACATTTTCATAGAGATTTCAGCCTCATTCAACTAGAAAACCAAAATATTCTTCATTTTTCCTTCAAATAATATACAACATCCACAAAAAAGATAACAAATCTAAGTTTTTGATACGTATCGCAGTAGTTAATTTCTATTACAATTATTCTTTATATGTAAAACACTAAACATGTCTAAGTTCATCATTCAGAAACATGAATTCTCATCGACGAAAGAACCATATTCGATTTCTTTATGAGTATGAAGAAATACATGACTTGCAAGCTATTGATATAAGTAAATAACGTATTGACATCATTAAAAATACTGCATTACTCAAGCTTAAGATTTGTCCGCAGACAGCGTATGTGTGGTCTACTTTTCTCTGTAACAAGCAACATATAAACAAGGGAATAGTATTTCAAATGTGCTTTGCAGTCTTACCTGTCCTTGATAGTCAACAAATATTTCAAGTTTTAAGTAAATATCTTTGACGGTTTCTCTGGTGGCTCACAAGATTATCTCACTTAAGAAATGCGTTTAAAGTGAATATCTTTGATATTTTTTAAAGAAATGAATCTTAACAAAAAATAACCAAGAAAAAGCGACTCACATTAAAAAAATGAATTATAAAGACATTAAAACGCAGTCCACGTATTCTAAGTTTGAAGTTATTAAAGTGACATGTTGCTCATTTTTATTGTCAAATTGACTTGAATTGACTATTTATTTCAATAGTGGGTAATTTATCGTTCATGTAAAGTAAATTATAAAATTGAAAGGAGTTATGAAAAAATGTTAACTCATTTTGGCTTTCACCTTTTCACTCTATATCTACCCATGGATGGGCATAATGTCACTTTTCACTTTTTTGAGAATTCGACCTTTGAAGTCTAAAAAATAGAATTATTTTGCTAAAATTCTTTTTTTTATTATCTGCACCATCCTTCAATGTTGTCATATTTTGTTGGTGAATATGAAATCAAGTTTCAGGTTAACTTCTTTGATAGTTTCTGAGGAAACGGACCTTAACAAAATGGATAACTAATCCTTAAATAGTAAGTAAAAAAGGGCTTACGTTTGCATAAATTTTGTTTTGGATAATTTGCAATTTTGAAATGGTACCCTCTTATGAAATATCGATGTATATCATGAATGGTTTCCTTGAAAATGGGCCTTAAGGAAAATGGAAAGCAACGCCGACGAGAGGGTCATAACGATAACTCGACTTATTTTCTTCAAAAAGAAATATCGGATATGATTTGATTATATTATCAGTAAGTCTCATTATGACTGTTACAATTAGCATATCGACGATGAAAAAAATATTATTGGCATTTATTCATTATTGAATAAAACTTTATTAAATGAATTTTGAACTTTCAAAAATGTTTTAGACATATCTAGAGTTTTCTTTCTGTGTAAAGGGCTCCCGTTGTTTTCACCTGTTATTTCTAAAGACGCTTCACTGCACTTAAATGGCGTGTCATCAAGTGAATTAATTACATACATTTGTATTATTTCAAACAGGCATACATGTAGTCATATACTCGTATATACGGAATACCGATAGGGCCATCGTGATTATACGTTAAAATACAGAGGGCGACAATGCGATAGTGCGATGACGACAATGCGACAGTGCGATGACGACAATGCGACAGTGCGATTGCGATAACGCGACAGTACGATGACGACAGAGTGATAGTATTATCGCACTGTCGCCATCGTACTGTCGCATTGTCGTCATCGCACTGTCGCATTGTCGTCATCGCACTGTCGCACTGTCGCCATCGCATTGTCGCACTGTCGTCATCGCGTTATCGCATTGTCGACTATCGCCTTCTGGTGGACGGTTCTAAACTGCTGGCGAATAAGCTGACGGTATTGAATATGGGATAATTTTACTTTTGTCAATATTTTTTCTTCTTCTTGTTTTTTCTTTTTCTTTTTATTATTTATTTATTTGTTTCTTTTCTGTATACTAATAATGTTTAAATGAAATCATAAATTAATAATTAGAATAATTTTGTATATAAATACTGAAAGAGTTATACATAGACGGAAAATGTAATAAACTGTGTGAAACTTTAATATACAATGTAATAGAAATTTTTCAGATGAAAATGATCTTATGTTGACATTTTAAAGATGTAAAAACAAAAATCATTTTTTATTACTTGTATAAAAAAGACAAACAAATTATATTCATAGATCGTCATCAGTGGATCTTTTGTTTTGTAAGATGTATAATTTACTAACATTGTAAATAAAGATACATGTAATAAGAAATTTACATCAACACATATTTTTTTCTATATATCTAAGTGGTCAACAATTTTCACTTTAAGATTAACTTAACAGCAGATCCTACTATAAGTTTAACTGGTCAGCATATTGTACTATAGCCAACTGATTCCGCTGGTGGACATAGTGAGACAATTGTTTCGATGTTGAAAAACACATCTATTCGGAAAAATTCTTACTGTTTATTTTTTTATTATTTTTTTATTTCATTTTTTTTGCTGTCGTTGTTGTTCTTTTACAGGGAAACATGCAAAATTCGAATTATCAACTACCTGCAGGTAAAAAATGGTTCATGCCATATTTTCTTCTTATACTATATGGTCAACCGACTTAACGTACGGTGCTTTAGGTACACATGTATATTAGAATTTGCTGACCAGTTAACCCCTTTCCGCATAAGCATTTTGTGGAAATGACCGTTTTTATTGATAACCCTCTGTTACACAAGTTCAAATTGCTATGAAACTATAATGTCGGTGGTTTTACTCAGGTACCCGTTTGTGCCTAAAATAATGCACGGAAGGGCACCTGAGGTCTTCCTCCACCAGTAAAGCTGAAACGTCGCCATATGACCTTTACTGTGTCGGTGCGACAAAAAACCCAATCAATCAATCAATCAATCAACTATGAAACTAGAAAAAAAGCTTTAATATTCAATATTCAAACTTCATATGATGATTGTCCATATTGGGTAGAAGACCCCTATTGATTTTGGGGTCACAAGATCAAAGGTCAAGGTCACTATAACTTTAAAACTGAAAACAGTTTCCAGAACACAACTTTGACCCATAGTGTTCAAACTAAGGATGATTGTCCATATTGGATAGAAGACACCTATTGATTTTGGGGTCACAAGGTCAAAGTTCAAGGTCGCTATTACCTCAAAACTGGAAACAGTTTCCAGAGTATAACTTAAGTTACATTTGTACGGTGGCACAAAGGTGACATGTGTGTATTTTTATTTATCTCGTGGCCACGAGATACTATGTCGTGACCACGAGTTACAAAGTCGTGACCACGAGATAGCTAAGTCGTGGCCACGAGATTCTATGTCGTGGTCACGAGTGACTAACTCGTGGCAACGAGATAGCTAAGTCGTGGCAACGAGATAATTAACCAATCAGAATACACTATATATATTATGAATTGTTTAAACTTAACAACTTACTTTTACATGCAACATTAATATTTGAAAATATTGAAGATATTTACTTTGAAATTGTCTTTTGGATTATATTAGAAAGTCACCTTCCAAGACCCATCAGACATTATTTTTGACTATAGCTCTTTGTTGGGACAATTTTGTGATCGAATTGGTCAGTTTGTACGTACTACGGCATGTTAACCTTGTTTATACGATAACATGAGAAGGAATAAGTCCTGGTTTATTTTATTTGGAAAGGACATGGACATGCCCATGGACAGTAGATAGCATATATAGTTAAATCCTTGTCTGGTGAATAATTTAGAAGGGATAAGCCATGGTTTATATAACCCAGAAAGATCATTGCACCTTATCAGTAGATGACATCTAATAATGTCGAGGTCATTGGGTAAAAAATCAGGGTCACAGTGACGCTAAATGTAAAATAATTGACCAGTCAATTAGTTGTATAAATGGCACTTTAACTGGCTGGAGAAGAAGGATCATCCTTGTACTATAGCACATGTCTAGTTCAATAGGGAAATTCATATAAATGGTGTAATCCGATTGGTTATTTATCTCGTGGCCACGATTAGCTATCTCGTGGTCACGACTAAGTAACTCGTGGCCACGACAAAGTATCTCGTGACCACAACATAGTATCTCGTGGCCACGACTAAGCGCTATCTCGTGGCCACGACTTAGTTACTCGTGACCATGACATAGTAACTCGTGGCCACGACATAGTATCTCGTGGCCACGACTTAGCTATCTCGTGGCCACGACTTAGTAACTCGTGGCCATGACTTAGTAACTCGTGACTCCGACATAGTATCTCGTGGCCACGACTTAGCTATCTCGTGGCCACGACTTAGTAACTCATGGCCACGACATAGTATCTCGTGGCCACGACATAACTATCTCGTGGCCACGACTTAGTAACTCGTGGCCACGACTTAGTAACTCGTGGCCACGACATAGTATCTCGTGGCCTTGAGATAAATAAAAACACACACATGTCACATTTGTGCCACCGTACATTTGACCCACAATATTCAAACAATTTTGGAGGATTGCTGTTTGAAGGAGGTTATACTTTATTTAATTTATGTAATGTCTTACAAATGCTTCATCCTTACTAAAAAGCACTTTCGAGCATATAATACTCCGCCTAGCGGTGCTCTTGTTATATATGTTTTACCTTTTACCTCATACAGACGTGTTTTCACGCCTTTTCGCCCTCCATTTTGATGCCTCAAATAGTGAAAACCATGCCCTATTGATCAGATACATCGCGGTGCAAGAGAGGGGGGTACCCTCTTCTGCACGGGGGTTTGAAGTGTGAATGCCGCCCCACTCAACTCCAAGAAAAAATTCTATAAATTTGTATATTAAAATTTCACACAATTTATTACATTTTCCGTCTATGTATAACTCTTTCAGTATTTATGTATAAAATGATTCTTATTATTAATTTATAATTTTATTTAAACATTATTAGTATACAGAAAAGAAACAAACAAAAAAATAATAAAAAAGAAAAGAAAAAACAAGAAGAAAAAATTTTATTGACAAAAGAAAAATTATCCGATATTCTATACCGTCAGCTTATTCGCCAGCAGTTTAGAACCGTTCACCAGAAGGCAATAGTCGACACTGCGATAACGCGATGACGACAGTGCGACAATGCGATGGCAACAGTGCGATAATGCGATGACGACAGTACGATAGTGCGATGACGACAATGCGACAGTGCGATGGCGACAGTGCGATAACACTATTGCTCTGTCGTCATCGTACTATCGCGTTATCGCATTGTCGCCATCGCACTGTCGCATTGTCGTCATCGCACTGTCACATTGTCGTCATCGCACTGTCGCACTATCGCATTGTCGCACTCTGTATCTTAACGTATAACCACGATGTCCCTAACGGTATTCCGTACGTATACGTGCTACTTAACCTATCACATGGTAGGAATATCTATTATAAACTACCATGTGAAAAAAAGGTTTAAAAAGAAAAATAATCTGATTAAACGTCACATTTAAGAAATCTGAACACAATGCCAGAACTTTAATAAGGACACTAATAAATCTAAAATAAAAAAATAAGCTTGCAATAATGTAAAGTGTTATAACAATACATTGATATGTTATATTATGTTTACATGACTATGCAAAGCCTTCTTGAAAATAAAAGTGAGCTTAATATTTACATGTTTGAAAATTTTTGTCATTTATTTCAAGGCTACCTTTTTAATTTCTTTAATATCTTCTATAATCGTATCTCTGATGTCCTCCTCAACTTCCTTGTCATTAGAAGCATCGGTTAGAATTTGACACATGTCATCAAAACAATTATTTTTGTCAGCCTCGTCAACACGATTGTCCCCTGAGTGGTATAATTTATTTCTTGCTTCCCTCAACTACAAAATAGTTTATATATGTTACTCTTTAAATATTTAAAAGTTATAGTGAAATAATGCTGTAGAATTCAGTTTTTTAAACAAAGCGTAGAACTTTTATTTGTGTTGCAAACAAATTACCAATTTCAACAACAAATGAGTTCAGTAAGACTTTTCTTTATAATACATAAAATGTTAATTATTCGACAGTATATTTCTTTCAGTAATCATAACGACAACGAGAAATTTTATAAACGTACTCTGGATTTTGGGTTCTTTCGTATTGGGTTCATGAATAAGTTGCAATTCAGCAGAATAGTTAGCATGGCGGCAGGGTCGGTGTCCTCTGGTCCTGTGTTATTTTCATTCCCTTTAGGCATAAACATCTTTGCAATAGCCCATTCAAGGTCAACACCTCTGGTATCTGTGCAGTTTGTCGACCAATATATATCTTTTTCACTGTGAGATGTTTGGTTATACACTCCAGTGTGTAGGGCAATTATCTTTTCAAATGCTCCTCTACAGATTTGACACTTATCTCTCCATTCCCATCTAGATTGTTTACGTTGGTATTTAACTTTCGTGTCAAAGCTAATTCGAATACAGCCTGCACTAGGACGAATATGTTGTTCTTCAGCAGGCGTTAAGAAATTCTGAGAACGTTGTAACTTACCTTTCCCGTGGGTATAATTTTTAAATTTATTCAACACGTAATCGTATAGTGCCCATGTTGTTTTGCTTAACCCTAAAGTACATCTTACCCAGTCTGTATGACCTTTCTTTGATATTTGTTCCTTTATCGTTGACATTATTCTGTTGAAAGTTATGAAGAACTCGTCTGGAAACGATTGAAAAATACAAAATATACAACGTCTTAAAATCAGCGATAAGACAAGCACATTTATTTTACAAAATTTTAGCTTGGGCAATTAGGGTCATAACATCCAATGTCTTAAACTAAATGAATACTCAAACCTTGTACATAATGTTTATTTAAAGGTCATCTAACAATAATTTGTGTGCCAATTCAAATGGAAAAATATCTTTAATACAGTTACTTCCTTAAATAAAAATTATTATTTTTTCATCCAAATTTAGAAAATTAGTTAGAAAAAGGTCAAAATTGTAATATGTAGGTTTGAAATATATTTTGGTTCTTCAGGAGGCAGAATACCGCTCCGGTCGTTTCGTTCCAAATTGGACAGGGTCAGATTTACAACAAAAAATGAAAGCACTGAGAGCACTGAGGTATACATTGCTTGATAATATAATCCATTTTTGTCACAAAGGCCATGTTGATTTTAACCTACTGACATCAAAATCGATAGGGGTCATCTCCTGACCAAGGTCAATGTCCCTTACAAGTGACTCAAGCTAAGGCTGATTTCTTCCAAAGTTATTAATGAGACAAGGAAGATGTAATGTTTCAATTGTGTATTTCTAGGCAAGCTGATAGATGAGCAATAAAGAAATTAGTTTGTGAAACACCCGTTAATGCACTGCAGTATAGAATATTGAAATAGTAATATTGAATATTTAGTGATGCTATCTAATGAAAGACATAACCTGGCTTGAACACTGTACATAGTCAATTAATTGAATCATCTTTAAAGACTTAATTACCAAATTTAATTTAATAGTACATCCTGTTGTATAGCTTTCCATGTCACAGATCTATCTACTGTTCTTTATGCATTATTACATATATTCCGGTGTGATGTATTCTTCTCTACACATAATTTTTCAAATTAATTACTTTATTGTTTATTAATAACAAGAGCCACCGCCGGGCGGGGGCAACGCTCGACTTTTTACTTTTTCTAAACGCAAACATAGAAAGGTTTGAACATATATTAACGTTTCCTTTTTATAAATCTAGTTTGGTCTGTCTTGTCACATAGTTTTGTTTATATATTTTATATATATATATATATATGAATAGAAACATTACGCATATTTCTAAAAATAGCAACAGTACGCAATTTCTAAAAATAGCAACATGACGCAATTTCTAAAAATAGAAAAAAATGACGCAATTTGTAAAAATAGAAAAAAATGACACAATTTCTAAAAATAGAAACAATGACGTAATTTCTAAAAATAGAAACAATGACGCAATTCTAAAAATAGCAACAATTTCTAAAAATAGCAACAATTTCTAAAAATATCAACAATGACGCAATATCTAAAAATAGAAAAAATGACGCAATTTCTAAAAAAAAAAGAGAAAATGACGCAATTTCTAAAAATAGAATCTAAAAATAGAAAAAATGACACAATTTCTAAAAATAGAAACAATGACGCAATTTCTAAAAATAGAAACAATGACGCAAGTCTAAAAATAGCAACAATTTCTAAAAATATCAACAATGACGCAATATCTAAAAATAGAAAAAATGACGCAATTTCTAAAAATAGAAAAAAATGACGCAATTTCTAAAAATAGAGAAAATGACGCAATTTCTAAAAATAGAATCTAACAATAGAAAATGACGCAATTTCTAAAAATAGAATCTAAAAATAGAAAAAATGACGCAATTTCTAAAAATAGCAACAATGACACAATTTCTGAAAATAGAAAAAAATGACGCAATTTCTAAAAATAGAAAATATGACGCAATATCTAAAAATAGAAAAAAAATGACGCAATTTCTAAAAAAAGCAACAATGACGCAATTTCTAAAAATAGAAAAAATGACGCAATTTCTTAAAATAGAAAAAATGACGCAATTTCTAAAAATAGAAAAAAAAATGACGCAATTTCTAAAAATAGAATCTAAAAATAAAAAAAATGACGCAATTTCTAAAAATAGAAAAAATGACGCAATTTATATATATATATACACACATTTATATATATATATATATATATATAATACATATGCTATACATACACACACACCAATAAATAAATGCACAATCTGAGAAAATTCAGTATATAACCTTCAAGGTCAAGGTCATTAAGAGCCCAAGCAAATTTGGGTTTGATAAACAACAAGGTATGGTCCTTAAGAATGTTCTGTTATAATATGAAGTTTATCCCTTCAAAAATAGCAAAGTTACAGTCAGTTACTGCCAAAACAATGAAAATTTCAATAATTTGACCTTCAAAGACAATGTCATTAATGAGTGAAGGTCAAGGTCTTTCGGTATATTTTTAACAGTTATCTTTGAAGATTATTATGTTCAAGTTTGAAGACAATCCATTCAAAAATAACAAAGTTACAGCCAATAATAGCCAAAAAAATGAAAATTTCAATAATTTGACCTTCAAAGTCAAGGTCATTGATGACTGAAGGTCAAGGTCTGACTGGTTATTTTTAAGGGATATCCTTTAAGATTATTATGTTCAAGTTTGAAGACAATCCATTCAAAAATAACAACGTTACAGCCAATAAGAGCATGAACAAGCAAAAATTGGTCTTTTAACCTTGAAGGTCAAGGTCATTTATGGATGAAGGTCAAGGTTAGTGTGGTCTACTGAAAGGTCTTGTCCCAAGGGTTGTTGTGGCCAAGTATGAAGACAATACACCAAGTAATAAAAAAGTTATGATCCAGGTACAAGTTTTCGGACGGCAACGGCAACGGCAAAGGCAACGCCGACCTGACTATAACAATACCTCTACTTTTTTTTTCAAAAAAAAAAAGTCGAGCTAAAAATGAAATCTATAATCAAATCAATTCAGATGTACTTTAATATTTTCATTATACATAATAGTCTGCACACACAACCTTTCCAACAAATTCAGTTATATTGGACTGAAAGTTAACAAGGTTTTTTTTTCATAATCAGGCTATGTGACCAACTTCTTAACATACACAATAATGAACTAAAACATTTTTCTATTTTTGGCTACTTTGACCAACTTCTAATTTTCAACCAAGATGATTCATGTTCAAACTCGGAGCAAGACCTGTCACAAACATTCTTTCCAAGTTTTGTGACAATTGGGGCAAAAGTGTGACCAGGAGAGTGTTGAAAAACTAAATGACCAGTAGAGTGTTAACAACTAAATGTCATCGTCGGATACGCACGGTTGATCAACATGTAAGATGACATAACTGATAAATGTTAATGGTTCTGCCATGAAAATCCGACGATGCTAAATGAGGACAGACCACAGTTGACATAATATGGATGACCGATATTCAACAATGATATAAGCTTATCCTGAGCAAGCCTATAAGTTTTACCACTGGGACCAGGGTACATGTGTATATGAGCTAATATCAAATTCCGCCCGAATTAGGGTTCTGATTTTTTTCAAATATGAATACCTTATTAAGCTGCAAAGTTTTATCTCATCTAGTAAGCATATGAATTTGAAAGCTAGTTTTTACAAAGTGCAACATAAACTTGTCTATTTTATATCGTTGATGATTGTCAGAGGGTTAATATTGACCATTGTTTGTCTTTGCAGTAACGATAACATTTTTTACATTTTTAATAAAATAATAAGATCAAAACAACAAAGCAAAACAAACAACACAACTTTATATAAATTTCATTTTTAGTCTTAAATGGGTTTTTTATAGATGTATATATTTTCTCTACAAAAGACCTTTTTTTCGTCTTCAATCGTAAACAAAAAAGGAAATTAAGTAAAACAATGTCAGTATGTTTCGCACGCACGTAAGAAGATCATTTTTTCTTGCTCTTTTTTATGAACAGAGTAATCTTTATCAATTTGAATGCAAAAATAAACTTTTACCATGTTGCTATATTGCAGAACTAGAAATCAATCTGTGTTACACCAAGGCCATGCTTGTTACTGCAAGGACTAATGAATGTTACTTAAAGTACTTAAAACTGTAAATTTACGTTTATTTTTTATCATTGAGCTAACAATTAAATGTTAACAACATACAGAAATGAAAAAAAGCTTTGAATTTTTCTTAAATAGATCTTGAATTTAAATAACAAAGGTAGGGGAAGCTCTCTTTCAAAGTTACAGGACGGACATATTTGTACTGAAGTGACAATAATAAATAAATTATAAGGTGTAATCATTTATAAACAAACAATAATCATTTGAATTTAAGCACAATTACTACTTTTTGTATAAAATATAAACATTTCACAATTGCACAGACATGAATTTAAAACGGGGAAAAGTTACAAGTCTTTAAGGTAACCAAGCGATGTTGTGAGTTCGCATGATTCGGTCCAAACTCGTCCCAGTCAATTTTATAAACAAGTTCAAAGAGAAAACCATCAGAAGTTTTGAAGATCGATTTTACATGCTATGTTTTTAATCAGGAGTTTTCTAAGTTAAATAATTAAAATTAAATGCAAAAGTTATTGGCCTTTTAGAATGCATAATTTAAATCCTGAATGGCTGTAATAAATTCCAGAGATTCTTTCTTGTGACAAAGCCATTCATATAGCTTAAAAATTGTTAGTGGCCCTTCTGTGCCTGAAATAGCCTGGGGTCTTTTCAACCATTCAAGCTTGAAATTTGCCAACTGACCTTAACAGTTTTGATGCAACATTTTAAGCAAACAAAACAAAAAAGAAACTTACTGTGTTCACAAATTACGATAATGTCAGGAATTTTACGAGAGGCCAAAATAGGACTTGGAAAGTAAACAAACAGTCATGTTCTAAGTTTCAAGAGACTACTTTTAATGACTAATTTTAGTAGTTTTGAAAACATCAATTTTCTTTTGTAAAAATGCATGCTTTAAAGGCTTGCTTGTGAATGATATAAGTGAGGTTTGATTTCTATTTTCCAAAGTAAACTGTAATTCTATGCAAAAAATAAGTCTGTAGAGATAAGTACCTTCTATATACTGGTACTGCTTATTACTTTTATTTCTAAAATCGCTACAGTTGTT